ATGAGCCTACTTTATAAACAGGGTTCTGAAATACCGATATTTAAAAAAAACTGAATGAGGATTGTTGCATGTTTACTCTATTACAACTCTATCAAAATGTAAGGAACAGCTGTTTTCGTACTTGTTTGAGAAGATCCTGAAACATTGTTCATATGCTATAAGATGTATATTATACTATTCTAAAAGTTAGTACGTAAACGCCTTACAATCTCTTTCGGTATAATCAAAGTGAGTCCTTCGAGTGGTGGTATAGAGCGGTTCCTGCTAAGGTGGACGGTTCAAATCCCCGTGGCTATATACATATACTTTGATTTTTCAATTTAATTGGTAAGTTACGTACATTTGTAAATTTTTAGTTGCAATACTTCTCGTTAACAGTGAAGGAAAACATTGTGATGAAAGTTGCATGTCGAAGAAGGTTCATAACCCCTGCAAAAAGGTGGCAAGTCAAATATGGCTTAAATGCTCTTTGATGTATTATTTGTAAAGATAATGATTATTTGGAGACCGAGTAACAGATCTTCGAATAGTAATTTTCAAACTAGCCGGTTCGCATGTTAAACCGAAATCAAATTAATATTCACGAATTAAGTGAATGTAATACATTAGCGTTATGGACGCTAGGTGAGGAAATTTCGAGATCGATTCCCATTGGGAAATAACTTCTCTAAATTGTTTCTATTTTATGATATTTATTTATTCACTTATTTGCACGTAACAACTTAACACTAACATACAAGCAAAACCTAATTCGTTAGAGAAGCCACATAAATAAAATAATTTAAGAAGCATAACATATTATATGTAAGGCAACCCTTTTGAATTCACTCAGCGTGCAATGAAATAAGTCAATTGTATGAGCTACTCGATTGAGAGAAGCGAGGGCATTCGTGAATGGCGCTCGGGCCAGCAGCTGAGTTCGCGCGCGCGTGTTATCGCTAGCAGCGTCGGCGGCCGCCACCGCCCCGTGTACTTGTCAGGAGCGTACACCTTTACTTGCCCCAATATACCTGGGTTATATTGCTTGCCCCGTAGCAATTCAAAAATATACGTAACTAGCGCCAGGTCCCGCCTTACTTCCAGTTTATTGTACCCTACCACACCTAGGACGAACAACGTTGGATATCAAGAGACGGGACGAACAAGTCGTGCGCTGGTTGACATGCGAGACGTCTACCCATAATCAGTAGTTACAGTGCCACTCAGAGCTTTAAGCCGCAAAGCTCTGAGGAGCACTATCATTGTGCCCGTCACTTTGAAACAAAGTTGACATGTTTCACGTAATTTCACCAGTACCCCTATCCTTCAAGCTGCTAGGCGACAGAAATAGGTAAGGTGGCAGTACTTCCCTGGGACTCTACTGCTACCAAAAGTTCACTCCGAGTCTGAATGTCCTGGTTAGTTAATTTCGTTACCCTGGCACTTATTGTAGAGAGAATTCTAGTTTTTCCCGTTCCTCGTCTGACACTCGTCCGTAGCAATTACTGCCAAATAAGTTTAACTCGACCAAATTTAAAGACGCGTAATGCGAATGAAGCTTCATACTTGACATTGTTTTTTGATTTGATCGAATATTACTTATTTCACAGTAATTGTTTCTGACGGAGTATGGGAGTAAACATTTTTTTCCATCCTCTAAGGAGTAGACGCCCACGTAATAAACGAAGTCGTCTAGTCATCGAGTATATTACCAGAAATAGGGACGAAATGTCATTTATGTAGGATAATTTTAGTGAACGCAGCCTCAAAAATATAATTAGGAACTTAGCGATAGAATGCGAGTGAAGGAGAGGAATGAGCGAGTGAGAGAATGAGAAGGAAGAATGGTGGTGGGGAAGCAGAGACGAGGGGGACATTTTTGATTTTCACGGGTGCTTCATGTTTTTTTGTTATAAAATTGAAAAGAAATTACGAGCTAAAAAATTTACGAATTTCATTACAACGGAGAACATCCCACCTCATCTCACATTTATTTTATTTCAAAACGATTCTGCCATATCATTACTGTCACAAATGCGCTCCGATTGGCCAGCCCGAATTCGAAACAATTGACGGGTGTCATCAACTGTTTCACTTCAAATCGACCAGTTTAAGTTAAACTTGGCTATAATGGACGAAAATTGCAAAATTACACATTTAATCATTGACTTACAAATAAATGGACGACGGGTCTAATACAAAAACAACGAAAAAAAATGTCCCAAGTCAACCTACTTAAACGTAGTGACATGTAAAGGAACATGAAAAAGCTAAAACGTTGAATTTAAATTGTAATGTTATCGCAGTACTGTCTAATTTTGCTTGCTTCGCTGTCAGTCGAACAAACGAAGACTAAAGTGTGAATGACGCTCTGTATACGATTTTAACGCCCTGTAAGTTAGGACACTTTTTAGCGCGGACCCGACGTCCATATAAGTGTAAGTCAATGCATTTAATATTTAATTATCGATGAAATGTGATTCCGTTTGTTTCGTAATTAGATGTTTAGCCGTTTTTCCCAAACCACCGAATGAAACAGCCTTCGTTGTTAGAGATATTATCTTTATTACAATAAATATAGAATATTTTTGGAATATACGGAGACGTACACACAGGTTAGTTGTCGGCGCTGTACTATTTCAGTTTTCTTATTTGTGATTTCAGCGCAAACGAGAGTTGATATTTAAAAGTGATATAACGGCCCATTTACCCGAGTTGCCAGGGATGGATGTCCCTTATTTCGTCTCTATTTCTGGTTATATATTCGATGTGTCTAGTACATTGTTATTATCCGACTGCGGGAGGGTTATGTATGTATGTCCTTTTCTATGTTTCCCTGTACAGCCTAAACGGCTTGATAGATTTTGACATACGAGGTGTCGTTCGATTCGTCTTGATTGTGGGAGCGTCATAGGCTCTAAAAAAAATAGGTATCAAAATAGTGAGGGGGAGTTTTTTTATCTATGATATTTTTGCAGGCGGGTTTTGTTTTTTTTTAAATAATTTTTACACTTGTTACGTGTGTTTTATACTCTATTGTGATTATGTTCAATACAATTTTATATAAACAAGACTCTCAATAACCTTCTTACATAAAAGTATACCGTGAAAGTAGGAACGCTCGGGTTGACTTGAATGTCAGTAGGCTAACTATATTGCTTAGTCATGATGCAAGTGAACTGGCAAGATGTCACTGGGAATTAATTAAAGGTGTGAAGTGTTGCGTAATTTGTCTCAACAGTTCAATAGGCGCCTTAGTGGCTAGTAACCGGTAGTATATGCAAATTAGGACTTATTCAGGAAACATGTTGTACTTTTACGATCGACTAGTTTTACATTATGTAATAATATTACGTGTTTGCATTTATGACAAATGACTGCACATTATTATCAATTGAAACTGTTGATTAATCAGCTCAAATCTTTAATAGACGGGTTATGTGAAAAATTTTGTTCCATTATATCTGTCAATCAAATTTGGACGACGTAAATTTATAGCAGCGTCCTACAAAACACCTATTATTTTTTATTTACGTGACTACTAATTAAGATACTATCATTGAAATCTGTAAATCATTGATACCTACAACACTTTTCGAATATTATATAAGTTTATTTTATTATTAATGTTTATATCCACAACTTCATTTTTTATCAACATATTTGAAATTCGGATTTCGAAAACGGATTTCGCAGCGACTCTAGATAATTCACATTTTTAAATTTTTCAGAAACCTATAAGAATGCAGTAGATTCGTGATTTACTCGAAAAAAAAGTGCATGTTTTAGTATAACACCAGTCAAACTTATTTTAATCTTCGATAGATAATTGAGATCCCATAAAACAATACAATCAGTCTTCTTCGATATTACGCAAAGGAATTGTCTATCATGAAACATTCCAACTCAGGAAATCAGTTAGAAGATACGTAAAAATTAACAAACATTAGGCATTAAATATTTCAAAATTGTTATAATAAAAAAGTTTACAGTTTAAGTAAACACCAATAAAATCAAAAAAAAAAAAAAGGACGTAAACTATCAATAAAATGTAAAAAAATCAAACGCAATTTTTAAATCAGAAGTAATCTAACTTTTTTCTCTGAAACAAAAAGATCTTAAAAGTGATAGAGCGTCAATTGTTTTATTATTTAACCTGCTGAGGATTATGTTGAACAAAATTCCAAATTTCTGTTTGCGGAAGCGTGAATAAAAATGTTAAAAAACATCTGGTTATCAAAATCTCGTAAAAATACCAGAAAATCCGGATTTATTAATTATGGATTAACCGGATTGCATTACTAGGGATAACGTAACTAGGGATAGTTACGCCTGGAAAAAAGTTGTGTGAAAAATACAAAGTCGGTTAACTCATCCAGTTGAAAAATGGTTTGGCGGTAATTTTCTAAATGTTACGTGAATAATTTTAGTTTTTTGTTCTTGTGTTATTTATTAATTATTATCTGTCAAATTGTATATGTTTGGTGAATTTTTGTACAATGTTTATCACTATAGTATTATTTAGGCATACTTGTTTAAGTTTTGTGGAATTTCAAGAGAAAATTGCCAAAATAGTGGTATAAATAAAATGAATAATATAACGTCTATTCGGTATGATTCGTATAGCGGACTCTATTCATTAATTAGATGAGTTGATTTCAGTTATTACAATGATATAATAACACTGATTTGAATATATCATAGTTCAGTGAATATATTCGACATCGACTCTCGATTTCACTGATCGTTATCCATCATTGGCTCGTGCAGTTTGACAGGTGTCATTAAAAATTTTACGGAATATAATATGGTGTCAACATACCGTGCGCATGATAATTTGATACCCGTAGTATACAACTATTTGCTAATAGAAGATTTCTGGTACATTATGTATTTTGTTTGTGTCGAGGCGTAACGGGGAATCGCTTGCAACCACTACGCAGCGTTAACGTGAACAATAAGAAAGTTTGTGGTTTCTTTGTGTATAAGATACAGTAGAGTTATTTATTTCCACCACGTACCTGCGTGTACTGCAGCGCCATCTCCGCGATGAGAGCGTGCGCGTGGTGGGCGAGCGGCGCGTGGAGCGTGAGCGGCGGCGCGCGCGCAGGCGAGAGCTGCAGCGTGTGCGGCGCTGGCGACGACGCGCGGAGGCCTTCCAGCGAGATCGACCGCCGAATTGTCAGACCCGTTGGACCTATCGCGATTGACCAGATAAATTGAGTTTTTTATATGATAAGGTTGTCGTTACTTTCAAGTTATAAAACCCGCGATCGAAGCGACTATGGGATAAATAAGCTGGGCTGTGTTCCTGTGTATTTGGTTGCCACGTAACTGCAACTTTAGCCCGCATGTGTTGTTGCGTTTGATATTGGTTGCTGGAATTAGCACATTGATTGATTTTGATTTACTTTTTAAAACTAGAATAGGCGATACTGAATGAAGGAAGTTATTATTTTATTGTGACTAGTTTACCTTTAACTCCAATAGTGACACCGCCATGTGAAACGGCTAGCACGGCATTTTCGCCAGGAGGTACTCTAGCTGAGAACAGCCTTGCGAAGTAGAAAGGCCAACCTCGGGCCATTTCAACAGCCTGCCGCTTGGTCTGTGCTCGTACCGGTCCGCCAGCCTGTGAGCGAAGCCAGGCTGCGCCTGCGCGTCTCTCGCTTGTACTTATGCGCAGTGATGGCAGGTTCGACGTGATATCGTGGACGACCTAATTATCATAACACACAGTTATTTCTCACTTTTAATCTTTAATATTCAAGGCATTCAACGATTAATTATAATGAATTAAACGCAGATTTTTTTTTGTTATTCAACAATTTATTACATATATACAATATAAAACAACAGGTAATCAATAAGGATCGAACCTGAACGTAAAGCAAATCCAATATGGCGGGGTCGTTGTAGGTCTCTATGGGCGTGAAGTACTCTTTGCGCACACGCAGTTTCCACGGCACGCGGCTATATGTCAGGAACGAGCGGTCCGATGGTAGCAATGCGGCTGGGGCAGGCACGTCTCCTGTGGAGTAACTAAGCTTTTAACTACGCATAAGACGATATAGATAAATAAGTAAATATTTCCTACTTTTGTTTCGATCATGATAATACCAATCAGTCAGTAATGTTTGTAAGTAGTAGAGTTCCTTGTGAAAAAGTTCGTCCAGGGAAGTTTCGTTAACTGCCACCTTGCCTATTTCTGCCGTCAAGCGGTAATGCGAGCATTTGCGTTCCGGTTTTGCAGGGCAAGGGTGCTGGTAAAATTACAGGCACATGGGACTTGTCAACTTGTCTCAGTGTGACGGGCGCAGTGGCAGTGCCCCTCAGATCTTTGCGATTTGAAGCTCTGAGTGGCACTGCAACTGTTATGGACAAGCGTGTAGCTTGCCATCAGGCGCACGACTTGTTCGTCCCGTCACTTGATATTATAAAAAAAATTACTTAATTCGTTGCGACAAACATTAGTAGGTATGTACGTGGTGGGCATATATTGGGCGAAACCTTTGCACATAATCGCATCAAAACTACTCAAATGTTTTGGACAAAAATTATGACAGACAAGACTACCTCGAAAGTATGATAGACGTATTAATGGTGTTTACTTACGTTCAATATGCTCCGTTCTATCAGTAACGTGTGTAGAGATAGAATGTCTTCGTTCTGCCTCCAACTTCCGGTCTCGCTCTTTCTGTGCCATGTGCGTTTTGAACGTAGGCCGGTCAGCCCTTTTCGTAATGTCGTTGCTCTCCGGCGGAAACACCACATCAGACCTCGGGCTATCTCTCGCACGCCCTACTAACATGTCCCTAGAATTCTTGCGGCCATCAAACCGTTCAAATTCATCGAAGTACGGAGATGAACGCTTCCGTTCAAATGAATCGTCTAAACCATTTTCTTCTTTACGTCTCTCGGCTCTCGTTGGGTGGATCTCGTATATCTCTGACGCCTCGCGCCCTGAGAAGTTATCCCTGTCACGGCGGTCGCGAACGTCTAAACCAGATTCAGAGTCCCATTCGTCGCGAGTGTGTTCTCGCCTTTCATCATTATAGCTTCTAACGTCCGACTCGTCACCCCAATCATCTCTAACGCGACGTTCTCTTCTGTCAGATGTCAAGAAACGTGTGGCTAAGTCATCTCGATTTTCAGATTCTTCTCGTCGTCTCGAATTCCAGTTAGCCAGGAAAGCGTGGCGGTCGTCCGAGTCTCTATGATCTCTGTTCTGATGTACTCCAAAAGTATCCCTGTCTCTTCGGAGTTGCGCGAAGCTAGACGAAGCCGCTTCGGGGATTGGTGGAGGAGGTGCAGGCCTGTCTGGTGGAGTGGGAGGAGATTTAGGAGGTGGAGGAGCAGGGCCTGGTGGTGCTGGGGGTAGAGGTGGCGGTGGTGCATCCCATCGTGTTCCACCGCCCAACTGACGTTCCAGCATTAGTTTTCTTGTATCTTCTAACTTATTGACTGTACGTGGCGTTTCGGTAGCTGACGACGAACTCCTAACGGAATGGTTAGCAGTAACCCGTTCCAATCTTTGTCGCATCTCAGAGCTGAGTTTCAATTTTCCAACACTGCCAGGCGAAGGGCGCTGTGCACCAATTTCGAAACTTCGCCGAGCTGTGCGCTGACTAGGAGGTTCTCTGCTAGGAGACACCGGTCCATCGACTTCAAATTCCTCCCACTCTATGCCCGGAGAGGCCTCAGAGCGCGACCGTCCTCGCGGCGGTTCATGTTCCACTAGCCCATTAGTCTGCGCCTGCGGGGTGTTCCTGCGTTGGATTTGACGCATTTTGAACTTATTGAAATCCTGAGTTGTGTCTTGGTCCGTGGCATCCTTAGGCGGTGGCCAACGCCATTTGCCGATGCGAACGGTTTTAGCCCTGCCATATGGATCCATGAAGCCCCGGATCTCGGAAGGGTCAGAGGAATGTAGTGGCGGAGGCATAGGTGGCGGTGGTGGGGGAGCTGAGCCGGCGGGTGAGCTCTCATTTGACTCCCGACGAGGTTTAATAATAGAGTTCCTCGGAGGTGAATGTACTTGAGCGTGAACAACTGTGGATGCGCGAACAGGAGACGTCGGTTCTGCCTCATTAGGCTCAACTACTTGACCAGCTAGTAACGTTTGTAATGCTTGATTTTGTGCTAATAGCTGCTGCTGGATTTGTAGATTCTGTGCCATAGCACTTTGTAAGAAGGCTCGTTGCAAATTCTGATGATATGCATTAATATCTACCGTTCCAGGCGGAGGTAAATGCAGGCCCAAAGCAGCCGCCAAAGCTTCTGGCGTTGCGGGCATTTGTGGCATTGGTGATAGGCTTCCGAAACTAAGAGCAGAAGTGTTGGCTGTCGCCGCTCGTGGCGTAGCACCACCACCCTTTATGGCACCTGAAAGACCTTCACCATCGGTCAACCGTTTTAAACTATCATTCATAAAAATCGGATCGAACAAGTTCGTTATATAGTCGTCTACAGAATCTACGTTAGAATCCTTTCTGGTAGACTTTCCAGCCTTCTCCTCTTTACCACCACCTTTAATCAACGTTTTTAAGACTTTAACATTGCTCAGAGTTTCAATTTCCTCGGTATAATCACAGTTAAGAACAATGTCAATAAATTCGTAGTAATCTTTATGGCCTCCCTTGATGCTGGCAGCCAATGATCTAGCGTCTGAAAGCTCGTCTATATTAGGGTCCAATACTGGTGAGAACAGGTCATCCAGAAACTGGTCGACATCAGAAGCCTGACTCGGGACTCGGACACGACGTACATGAGATGCAAGACTCGGTGCTTCTGACGTATCGGACATGGCAGAAGACCGAACGCCTCCAAATTCAGAGCTCTTTTCAATGTATGCGCGACTAGATTGCGAGCCCGCCGGGGCTCTTTTACCAGCGTATTGGGACTTGATGTACCTCGAAGGAGGTCCACGCGAACCTGTGCCATATTCGATTTCCAAAGCACCCTTACTGCTGGTCACGCTTGGTGCGCCTCCTAACCTTTCAACGGAGTGATATCGATCATTGAGTCGCGATTGCGATAATCCCAAATCGGCTAGTTTCGTCGGCTGAGGGGCTGGATTATCGCCAAGGAGATTGTCCAATGATCTGGTACGGACTTTGTCAGAACTTTGGTCAAAGTATCTTTCGTTGAGCGCCGATTCTCTCGAAAGTATGTCATGAGATATTTTCCGCGAGTATTCGTTGGAGTTCTTGGCCTGGGTTTCCTCTCGCTCCATCTTCCAGTTGTATTCGGAGACTTCATCGATAGAGTCCTGCAGCACGAGACGTTGGATGCTCGGAGACCGCGATTTTGATGGCTCCTGTGATGAAATCTGGATGACAAGAAATTTATATTACAACGTATCGTTCCATTAAAAAGTTATAATTACGGAATAAATTGCAAGATTTACCAGAGCAGTGTCTGCTCCAACAGAGGACTGCCTCGGGGGTGGCGCGGGCGGAGTGCTGCGCGCATGCGTCGCTCGCAGCGGCTCGCCGCGGCTAGAGGGCAGCGCAGCCCAGGTCTCCACCTCGCCCACTGCGTCGAGTGCGTATTCGCAGCCCGCCCATTCTAGATAATACGGCGTACATATAAGAAATAATGTTCAATACTGTTAACTGCCTCCGTGGCCGAACGGTTACCATATTGGATTGCGACGCAGAGGTCCCGGGTTCGATTCCCAAGCAGGTAGAAATATTTGTAAGGCCTACTTTTATTTCTCTCGTGAGTTAGGGTGTAATTTGTGGTTGTCTATCTATGTGCGTGTTCACGGCACCCGCGATACAAGGTTTCCCCAGTACGGGGCTATGAGTGTGTGCGTTATTTATTTATTGTTAATTTGGACTCTAAAATTTAACTTTGTTTGTGTGTGTTTGAAAATGGCGCTTTCGCCGTTCTACAAAACACAGACCGTATTGGCTTGTTTTAGACCCTCGATAAAAAAATATTATTTCATGTACTTTACACACATGACATAGTGTATTTTATTATATTTTTATTTAATAGTTTTTTGTTACACTTTATAAAGAATTTTTCGATTATATGACTTTGTTTCTTTTTTTTTGTTATATTGATCGATATGTAATAAGAAACCATTTCCTACATGGGTTTGTAATGATGATTTTTCTTATCTGAGTACAAATATTTTTTTAAGAAATATCTCATCTGTGTTGTCGAAGTAGCGTAGTGTCCGAGTAAAATCATGTCGATATAACATATTGTCGGAGTAGCGTGTGTCGAAGTTCAGTTTTAGAGTCGTTAATTTTATTAATTCATTTCGCAAAATTTTATTCCTTAATTTTGATGTATGAAATAAGTCAATACTCAATAATTTTATTGCTCTGAAAAGTCTATTAAATATTACGCAAAACTTGCAACTAAACATTAAAAATAAATGAAATTGGTGCCTGTAACAGTAATGACATTCCGTACTAACCCGTGAGCTGTCCGTTGTGCTCCATGGAGAGCGTCCAGCCGGAGGCGTGGTGCGCTATTCCAGCGGCCGACAGCGCCGCAGCAGCAGCCCGCTCGCACGATGTCCACGAATCCACACTCACGTGATGCACAGAGTCTGTCAACCGAATAACATTTTTATTATTTATAATCTGCGGATATTGTGAAGTGCATACGGGTGAAAGCAAATGCTGGAGTCCCGCCACAATGTGAATTTTAATTCATTATGTAGTTAGTCTATAAGGTATGCATTTATGGATCTTTTGTAACCTGAAAAAGAAAATCTGAGTACAGAGTCCAAAAAAAACCGATCTCAAAAGTTCGTGGAATTACATCTAATTGCCAAGTTTTATTAAAATCGGTTACCGGAAAGTGCGTGAAACCGGATTCATCCCCTAGTTTGTCACACTTAGAGGTGGAATCTTTTCTTCAATTTTAAATGGGACCACCAATACCGAGGTACCTTCTTTCCAACAAAAAAGAATCATAAAAATCGCGTGACAAAAAAAATTTTGTCGAATTAGAACCTCCTCCTTTTTTGAAGTCGGTCAATTGAACCCTTAAATCGAATGAGAGCCTCTAGTGGAAAAGTGAGCTCACCGTCATAGAGCCGCAAAGGCAGCGCGGGCCTAGCTTCCACCTTGGCCGCGCGCCACTCCAGCAGCGTGGGGGGGCAGCGGCGAGCCACCCCCGCCCCGCGCGCCGCGGCCGCCCCTCCGCCGCCCAGCAGGCGCAGGAGCAGCGCACGGTGCCGCGACGGCGCGTGTTCCGATACGTAGCGGACGAGGTATCTGGGACAATGAAATTAGAGTTTCTCGTACAGAAAATACATACAATAAAAGTTATTCATGTAAACATTCACGATTATCGCCCTTCCACGTGGGCGACAAACGCCTCACCATGGACAATTGACCGTCTCCCGTGTAAACAAAACAAATCGTCGTAAACGCTGTAATCGAATGGAGAATCTCGCACTCAAAACTGCGCAAACAGATACTCGTGTGAACTTGAAAAAAGTGATACGAGAACGTGTTTGTTCACATCGATAACTCATAATCAAGGAGCTAAGTTTTTTTATAATATCCATATAGTAAGCTAGACGCCTCGCAATTGCAAAGATCACCACTGCCATCACCCTGAGACATAAGTTGACAAGTCCCACGTGCCTGTAATTTCACCGGCACCCTTACCCTTCAAAATCGAAACACAGTAATGCTGACATTACTGCTTGGCGGCGGAAATAGATAAGGTGGCATTACTTCCCTGGGCCAGCTCTTTCTTTCTTTAACTCTACTGCTACTAAAGTTCCGCTGCTTACGGTGATACATACTTGTGCAAAGGCGGCGTGGGCTGGAAGGCCGCGAGGCAGTGCGCCATGAGTTGCCACACACGCTCGCCCGCCTCGCCGCCAGACTGGTTGCACAGCTGCACCAATATCTCGTCCCGTAAACCACGCGAGGACAAGCCTCGGGACGCTATGTAGTCTGCTAACACCTGTAAGTCAGTCAAATAATCTTTATTTCATAGACAATTACACTTGAAACCGCCATACTGATAAAACTACTGCTCATTCGTAAGGCAGGTTCCCCTGAGAAGAATAAGCAAGAAACTCTAAGGGTTGCTCTTTGTAAATATATAACTTTACTAAAAATTAAAAATAAAAAATAAAAAAATAACTTTAAAAATAACTTTACTAGTGGTATTTAGAAGAACAATTTTGTAATTGGAAATAAGAATGTAAATAATTCATTTTTATTTCTTGCCTTTTATTTTCGATCATTGTGGAATTTCAGAGGGAATTAATTACTTAATGTTTACATAAATGTACTACAATCACTATAATAAAAATCCGATAAAAATGTAGCAAGCAAGTAAATTTCTTTATATAAACCTTTTGTCGCGCCTCATTTCCAACAGCGGACTCGTCGCACCACCTCAGAATAAGTTTAAATGTAGCCACAGCGTCATTGAAATCTTGATCTCTGCAACGAAGAAAAATTAAGTTAGATTTTTTTTATGTACTTTCATGATTCCTTGGTCAAATATAGCCAAAAATCGCCACAAAACAATTTGGAAAAAAAAACAAATATCCCCAAGCCGCAATGCTAATAGGGGCTGACATCAAGTCCGTGTATTTTCAGCCGTACGTAATAGCCGTTTCACAATAAACAACTTGTTCGTGAATTGAATTATCTTTATTAAAAAGCAATTTCTCGATCGTAAATAAGTTTACTTTAGTAATATAAATGGACTGGTAGCTGTAAAGGTACTAACTGGGTGATAAATCTTTAATAGATTTCTCATAGATGGCGCTACGACTAAAGAGTCGTTGAAATACCAAATACAAAGACACTACGCAAACACATTCATAAATTCGTGAGGTCCGTTGGTTCGTTCCGTGGCTTAGATGGTCTAGCGTCTGGCACGGTATGCAAGAAGACGTCTTTTTCGACGACGTTTTTGTTTTGAGTGTTTGATCTTTGTATTCATAATTATAACAAACTAGTGAAGTAATTTCACAAAAAATAATTGAATATCAATTCAATAAAAATTTAATTAATATAAATATTAGTTCCTTAAAAATAAATGATATATTTTGACCCCTCCTACGTAAAGTATCGTATGTAGAAATTGCCAAGTTTACAGGGGAGCGTTTTAAAGTTCTGAATTCACTGAAATAAGTGTAACACGTGACTTTAGCATTTCTCAGTTTTATTCGCCAAAGCTCGTTACTCACATAGAGTATTATAAAATCCTACATATCGGTTAGATGATCTATGATGATCTATTAGTTTAAAACTCTATGTGAGTAACGAGCTTTGCCGAATAAAACTGAGAAATGCTAAAGTCACGTGTTATGCTTATTTCAGTGAATGCAGAACATTAAAAGGCTCCCCTGTAAACTTGGCAATTTCGACATACGATACTTTACGTAGGAGGGATCGATTTGATCTCTTTGTAACATTGTCTTTTCGCTCACCACGAGATCATGTGTGAAAAAGTTTAATTATGAAATGAAATATTGCTCTATTTTGCCTTCACAAACAGGCTTAAGAGTAGAGGACCTTATTAGTTGAAACAATACAAATATTGGGCATACTGTTTTGTGAGAGACTGGTGCCCGAGGTACGTATAGAAAAACCTGTATTACTGGTCACCAGGCTTCCACTCTGTAGATGACAGGTTGTGGCACTGTGGTTGTGACACAGGAGAGAATTAATTAAAGTACGTAAATATTCCTAAGTTATTATAAAACTAGTAGTGTACTAGATAAAGTATTTAGAACCTCTAAGACTTAACTCTAATAATCACCCGATATACAAGAAGTGAGGATGTACGAATGAGTGTTTATAAGGTGCGTTTGTTACTGATTAGGTGTATTGTAAGTACCATACTTACATGCGTTTGGGGTATAGGTATGATACGTATAATGTGCGAATGTCTTAAGACGAGAGAACTACGAGTTGAGAATAGTTCAGAGGAATGGACTGTTATTTGAGGATAGAAAGTAATTGCTCAATGTCGTTATAATTTAGGGTCTTTATCCAGTAGGTGATAACTTTATTATAGAGTGACTTTGGAAGCATGTAAAAGGAAAACTTTGTGGTTTAAAATAAGTTATAGCAATCATATAATTTATAAACCTTATTTGAAAGCTTATTTTCAGCTGACTGCTCTGGATTTATGTACATCCTTATTTTCACAATAACAATACCAAAGGATATGTCTTCAATAAAGTTATACGATAACATACCTGACAGCAGCTTTAGCGAGAAATGGCCTGGTAATAGGATGTTTCCTGGGGCTGAGCTGGCCGCCGTCCGCGAAGTACACAGAACTGAATTTGGAGAAGGCGAATTGCTGTAAATCGCGAGGCAACTGGATGCGCTCATCCTCGGCGTATACATCGCCTGACACCTGGAATGTGTAACATCATTGTGAAACAAGTTACTTCTAAAAAAACGTACATGTGGCCAAATTGTAAAATATGAAACTTTTACTAAAAAGTTCAATTCAAATGTTTATAGAGTTATATAATGTGCAACAGTACCTACTGTTTCGAACTTTATACGAAAATTATATAGTTTAATTTTCTCTTCTTATACTGTTTTTTATGTCAATAGCAGAAGAAAGTAATGTCAAAACGAACATCGCAAATAAACTGGAAATTCTATCATGGCATTTGAATAATTATGTTCATGTAAAATATAATAGTAATTAATTGTGAAAAATATAAAAAATGCATATTATATTACTGTAGCCGTTTCTAGTGTAAGTACTTGTCTTCGGCAATTCAACGTTCTGCTTTTATAATATCAATAATAATAATAACGCACACACCCATAACTTCGCACTAGAGAAAACATCTATCGCGGGTGCCATGGACACAAAAATATTACTGGGTGTAATTTGTGGTTGTCTATGTGTGTCCGTGACTCACGAGATAAATAAATGAAGGCCATACAAACATTTCTCCCGGCCCGGGAATCCAATCCGGGACCTTTACGTGGCAGTCCAGCGGGAGGCAGTTAGCTCATAGTTGCATATAGTCCTTTTATTTAATCTATTTCTTTTTTGCAAAAAATTAAATCTTTCAGCGGTTCAGTCAAGTCAACATGATAGAAAAGCACCGGCAATAGTTTATGTGACCTACTCTCTTCCATTGTACGTACATTCTTCTTTTTTATTTTTACACCACTAACAGCCCTGCAAAATATTTTAGTAAAAACTTCGGATGAATGCATACCTTAGCCAGATTCTTGTCAGTGTGCAGTGGCTGCCAGTCGTCGAGCTTGGTTAGAATGAAGGCCAGCTCGGCGGGGACCTCCAGTACCTGCAAGCTCTCCCTTTCTCGCTCCGCCTTCGCTTTTTGCTCGGCTGCACGCCGCCTACACCAGAACAGAGCACGGAATAGTATCACATACTCAAAATTACAAAATATATAAAACTATACTAACACTTCCAAAAGGAAGTGAACTAAAAACTGAACTATATAAAGTTGTATACAAATACACGCACATTTAGAATAGAAACAAAGTGAGATTATAAAATAGTAGCGTTTATATTCAAATAAATAAGAATTAGACATAAAATAGCAATTAAATTAATATCTTTTCACATCGTCTTAGCACAACTTTACTCAAATTTTATTGAAAAAAAAAAATATGTATGGAAATTAAACAAAATGTATTTTTTTAGATATTGTGACAAAGCAGAAACAGCTGAAGATTTATAAATTGTAACTTTGTTAATTAAGTCTTTGTGTATTGTATGTTTTCAACTAATGTTTACGAAAGTTACAAGAACGCAAAACCAATCTCAACTTCTCGACAAAACTGTATTATTAGGAAATTCAAATAAATCAATAAAAAATTAAAGACAGTCTAGTACATTTTTATTTCCAAATTAGACCTAAAGTAAAAAAGTAAGATACAATCAGACTTTTTAAAAAACACTGCATTATTTTGGTGCATGTTTGTATTTTTACCGAATACATATATATATAAAGATCACACATTGCTTTTAGTGGAGTAGACCATTTTAGTAGCACTAGAGCTTCTTGTGAAAGTGTTCGTCCAGAGAAGTACTGCCTTAAAGTTACCTATTTCTGCCGCTAAGCAATACTGCTCACATTACTGCGTTCCAGTTTTGAAGGGCAAGGCGTGCTGTTAAAATTACAGGCACATGGACTTGTCAACGTATGTCTGTCTCCGGGTGACGGTGACGAGCGCAATGGCGGTGCCCCTTGGATCTTTGCGATCTAAAGCTCTGAGGGGCACCGCAAATAGACAGGCGTGTCGCTTATCAACAGGCGCACGACTTGTGCGTCCCGTCACTTGGTATCGATAAATAAAAAACCCATCCTCTATATCCTGGCGTACAACATACCAGCCATTTGCAAAAATCCTTTTAGATACGTGGCGAAATGACATTCTTATCTAGTGAAAGAGTATATACTCACTTGGCAGCAACTTGTTGTGCCTCAACGCGTCTGCGATGCTGTTCTTTAAGCACTTTGTACCGTCTGCGCGCGCGCCTACCGCGCACCAACGCCTGCGCGCGCACGACACCGCGGCGCGCTGTCACAAAGCGTCGCCGAGCATGACGCCCGCGCCACCACGATTGGATCTTCATTGTTGAGTTACGTAGTTGACCATAGCGCTTCCTGCGAGATAGTGTGTACGTTTCAGGAAAAGCTGTGAGGTTAGTTTTATTAATTATCATAATAAGTGAGAAATGCATCCATGGCAAAATAAGAACAAGTGTGGTAACTCCATATTAAAAGTAGCAGCGCAGCTTGTAATTGTGTGCGCGCCCGCTACGCACCGTTTATGGATGTCCATTTGTATAACTTAAGGGTGCTCTAGCGTTGCGCAACCCTGGTCATCTCAACGCGCATTTCATTATTATTTCTACAATTATGCAGCAATGTTTTTCCTATGTATAAGCTTCTACATTTACGAGAGAATCACAACAAGAATCAGATTACTTTTTGCTAGACCAATCTATAAAGTCTGACCTGGCGAGATATCCTCTAACATGAGCCTGCAGCTTAGTGGCAGCGGCACGCAGTTTGTCGGCCCTTGCTCTTTCCAGACCTCTGTGCAACGCTTCCCTGATGAACACTCGAGCGGCCCCAAGTTGGTAATCAGCGCCAACTGTAAATCCACGAATGACGTGTTAATTAACTCGGATTTCAGTAATACTAATCTAATACCAGCTAATACTAAACACATTTCACTTTGTTAACTTAGGAAAATATTTCAAATAAAGGAGCCTTCCCGCACGACGTACCATTCCTGTTGGAAAACCTTTGTGCGGACACTCCTTCTATGTAGGTTGTCTGTGATAGTTTTGAATTTTTATTTAAGAGTTTTTAGTGTTCCTTGTCATGGTGAGTTACAGAATCAATACATTGTTTTCCTCGTAACGATAACTTGTGTTATTTTTTATAATAATTAATACAAAGATTGAACACTTAGCAAAAATTCCTTCGATCCGGCCGGATTCGAACCGACGTCTTCTAGCATACCGTGTCAGATGCTATACCAACTAAGCCACGGAACGAACCAGTGCTCCTCACGATTTTTTCTATGTGCTTGTTGTTGAGTCTTTGTATTTGGTTTTTCAACGACTTTTTAGCCGTAGCGCCATCTATGAGAAATCTATGAAAGTGTTTCGTCACCCAGTTAGATACTTTTACAGCCCCGGCTAGAGATGTCGCGTATGTGTGTTGTGTTATTTTTATTTTGCGGGACAGAAAATGTTGTGTTGTTCTTTGGGCAATGTTCCCACAATATTGCCACTAGTTTAGTTTACGTGTATATAATTTTACGAAAATGACGCAAAACATTTCTTCGACGAATAACATAAGTATTAGGAGCGGTTCAAGCATGTTTATGGAAAAACATGAAAGTGTTTCCAATTATTATTATTTCTATTATTTAATTATGATTGCTCGTGTAAGAGGTATTGTTAGAAAACCTTTTTGCTGACACACTTTCTATGTAGGTTGCCTATGATTGTTTCGAATTTTGATTTGTTTTTTAATGTTCCATATCACGGCGACTTACGGAATAAATACATTGTTTTCCTTGTAACGATAACTTGTATTATTTTTATTTTGTGGGACAGAAAAGACTCCCGTCTTTACAATTCCTATCATGTACGTCTGGTGCACCTAGGGCAACACTCTGCGAGTACCTTACGCTGATTGGCCAATTCTTTCACCACTATGGCAAGTATTACCGTGTGTGCTATTGATACGATAGGAAGAAGGATTTAGTAAATTAAACTAATTTTGTTCCATCTCACTCAGACGTAACTATGAACATTTAAATAGCCTGTTGCACACTGGGGCCCGTCCATATAAGGTAGTGATCAAAACTCTAATTGCGAAATGTGGGTATATATATACACTCCCGGACAAAGTTTGCTCTTCATACGCTAAATAATAATTCGTCTGTAGCGTACGTGAGTTTATATGCATTCTTTAGACATTTATTTCTTACATTTGTTATTAAAATCGAGTTAAGTACATTAAGTCAGTCAGTTAAGGAGACTCAACTTACCAAGCAAGATTGTTGAGTCTCCTAACATTTTTATTATTTTATAAGTTTATCGGTATCTGATATACGGCTAATAATTTGTAGTACACTTTTTAAATTTGAGTTTTCAGCATTACCTTGTATGGGCGTCCCCCAGTGTTCGTTGTTTTGTTTGACAAACTTGCGCACAACAAACATGCGCTATTGGAATATAAAAAAATATTTGTTGACTTACACAAAATCAAATCCCGGCACCTTTTTGAATGTTTTCTCACGATTTTCCACATTTTCATAACATAACCTACACACGCTTCGAGTTATATCATAATTAAACAATTAACAATATTTAGATATGTTACCGAATAAGTGAAAAATATTCTTATTTTAGATAATAATAAATTTTTTTTAAAGTCGAAAACCAATTCACGTCTCATATAACATTTAACATTAAACAAAAGTTTATCATAAATATTCTACACGGAACACGTAACAAAAATTAACAATCTTAATACGAAATGAAAAATCTCTCCGAGAAAAATGCTGATAGTGTAATCGCTATATCAATTAGGGCGATTGCTTTATGACTCACGTAATTAAGATTAAATGACAAGATAGTCGAAAATTTATTTTTCTAGCGTAGGACAATAGATTTTATACACAAAATGAAAGAATTGTTTATACTTGAGATTTGGTATGAGGTTTGTATTATATATATATATATATATATATATATATAACGCCCATTATATATACATATGTATGTATGTCACACGCCTTGTTCGTCTTGTCACTTGGACCAACACCAAAACGACTCCCGTACACCACGAAAGCAGCCCGCCATCATAAAACCATAATCGATGTTTTTATTCAACGACGAATTAAGAAACTAAATATTACTGGTTTTTGTAATACTGTAGCCATTAATTTCTCTACTGTATCATTACCATACATTTAATGCGGTCGTAAGTAGTCGTAACAATACGTAACGCACAGTACGGGCACGGTTATCTCCGCCGCGCCGTAATGAAAAGTCATTGACTCTTGTTTGTAAGTACCAAGCGAAATTATGAACGAAGCGAAGTCAAATCTAGCGCCCTGTGTCATAGATATCTCGCTCGCCGACTATTGGCAATACGAAAATTTGAACGTGAGTCACAGTTGTCAGTAATCGGCTTATGCCGGTCAAAAACAGCTTTATGTCCATGCAATAAGAGCGGATGACGTTGCGTGTTTCCCTTCCGTTCGGACCGTCGAAACGTATATGCATATACAATTTATAATACGTTACTTTGATTTAAGCTTTCACGATTTTCTCACATTATTTGATGTTTTATTCGGGACTTACTTTTAATAAACTAAGGATGTCGTGAGTTTGATGTGTCGGTCTAGTCAAAACCCTAGTGCACAAATAAATAATGAAGATCAAGTGCGGGTAGTTAAAAAAGTCGCACGGCTAGAAGCGGCTCTTCAGTCCCTTCCTGACCACAGACGTTACAATACGTCCGAAACGTCGAGGTAATTAAAATATGGTTTAGAATACGTTGTAATACACAAGGACTTAAAAGTTTTTCTGACCTGTTTAATGCAATTTCGTGTTGATAGGTGTGATGAGTCCCTAAGGAAAATCACCAGAACGTTACAGTACCTCTATGAACGAGTATAGTATATGTAAGTAACAACAAAAGTTTTTTTAAATATAATAATCAAGTGACGGGACTAACAAGCCGTAGGTAAGTGACTGATGGTAAGCGACACGTCTGTTCATAACAGTTGCAGTGCCAGTTAGAGCTTTAAGCCGCAAAGTCCGGAGGGGCACTGCCACTGCGTCCGTCACCTTGACATAAGTTGGCAAGTCTCATGGGCCTGTAATTACACCAGCACGCATACCTTTCCAAACCCGAACGCAGTAAAGCTCACATTACCGTTTGGCGGCAGAAATAGGTAAGGTCTCAGTACTTCTCTGGACGAAGCTTTCACAAGGAGCTCTATTGCTTGCTTATATAGGTTTTCCTGGTCGTATAGGTGTGATAATAATAAATAACGCGCACACGTAGCCTCGCACTAGTGATGACGTCCTAATTCAAAATTACAGCATGTTGGTTGGTCTAACCAACATGCTGTAATTTTGCTAGCTCATTTGAGCTAGCTAGATCATGACCCTTGTGACTTAGTGGAGATGCAAGTTAAAAATTAGGCTAAAAAGTTTGGATACCTCAATCAATTGCATGCTTTAAATTTTTATTGAACTCACTTTAAAAATATTTACCTATTTCGTTGAACAAATATAAAAAGATTTTTAACGCATACATATGAGGGTATTGGAAAGTTCCGGCTGTTGTTTATTACTTGACACTAAATAGACAACAATAAGGGCGTGGGCGACTACTTGAATATGTACACGAGTTTCTCTTTGCACAGTCGTACTATGTGGCAACGACGAGTACGAAATAAGTACTTTCTAATTTCAATAATTATGTGCCAAAGGTTAGCTTCATGCAGCTTGAATTTTATGCAATTAAATCTTCGTCGTGCAATGTGCTGTGACGATTAAGGAATGCAAATCCAGACCATATTTGGAATCCGGATTTCGAAAACGGATTTAGCAGCGAACTCAGATGATCCGTTTTTTTATTATTCCGGAAGGCTACAAGAATGAATTCGTGATTTACTAAAAAAAAATCGTGTTTTGGTACAATATCAATCAAATTTTAATCTAATCTTTGATAAGTAATTGAGGTCCATTTAACACAATATAATGTCTTCTTCGAAATTATGAATAGGATTTGTCTATCACAATGCGTTCCAATTTCGGAAAATAGTCTTCTTAGTGAAGATATATAAATATTAACAAACATTAGACTTTTAAATACATATATCAAGATTCTTGTAACATAGAAAAAAACAAGAACAAATAAAGATTAACAAAAACACCACTACGTAGCTGTCAATAAAATTTAAGAAATGAAACGTAAGTGCTCAGAAATAATCAAAATTTTTTTCTGTGAAATAAGAAAAGATCTTAAAATGGTAGAGTGTCAATTGTTTTATCATTTCTAACGTGTTGAGGATTCAATATAAAGAAATTTTAAAATCCGTACTTATTTCAAAATCTTGTGAAAATCTCAGAAAATCTGTTTTTTTTTAGTTATGGATTATCCAGATTGCATTCCCTAGTAACGACCAAGTTGGGAGAACGACTACTTCTTAAGTAGGAGGTTTGATTACCACAAGAGGTTCTCTATTAAGTAATTTGGAATCATGTGAAGATGAAGGAATATATCGTGATGAAAGCTATGTCTCGTGGAAATATCACAGAACTGAACATAATAATTAAAACGCCAAGATGGCACTCGGGCAGTGTGGTAGTCTGTGATTAAATCCTTTCCAATGAAATGAAACTATCATCGCTAAACACAGTGTATTGCGTGTCTTATACAGTGCAACCATTTCGTGACTCAGTACATTTACGTCTCATACAAAATTACGTTCTCTTAAAATGTGTTCCCTTTAAATAACAAATTCTAAAAGTGACATATTCCATAAATAACCTATTCTTAAAATGATCTGCTCGTATTCTTACAACGCTATTTTTAAAATGAGCGCTTTAAACCCCTATAAAATAAAGCTAAATTATTTACCACCACTTTAGGCGATTAACACACTGCACCGCGCCCCGCGACGGTGCGCGGTGGCGGAGACGCAGATCTGCGTCAACGCGCGGTTTAATCTGCGCGGGGGCAGCGGTCTAGCGGCCCCGCGGCACATAAAGTAATCGGTTCGTAGTTGATCGCCGTAGTGATTGTTCATGTAGCTAAGATCCTTCTTTGACAAGAATGGTTAATAATGCAGAACTCATCCAGGAGGCTGCAGTTATACTGTCTATTTGGTTTTTGTTAACTCAAATGATTACACCGAAGATAACATTCAATTTCATTACAAAGATTTATTAAGAAAATGTGAACATACATTTTTCAACTACACACGTATGTCAACTGAATCTGTTGATTATTTGTTAGGGAAAATCCGAACGACTATTACTGAAATAGACACAAATTGATTAAAAATCTGCGCGGTCGTGCGCAGCGCAGTGCGCCATACCCTGCGGTTCGCGAGTCGCGAAAAACCGCGTGTGTCGCGCTCCCGCGAGAAGCGCGGAGAAGCGTTGTCAGTGTGTTCGACGGCGTGTGTTTTCCATACAAACTGAAATACTTCAGTACAACTTTAAAAAACACAGCTCCGCAGCAGCAACACAGGAGCTAGGAGCTGTTTAATAACATCGGCCATAGGTACTCACCAGCACCCGTGGGCGGCATTTCTGCGAGAATGGAGTTGCAGATCTCGCGGTACGGTGTCGAGCGTGTCGGTGTCGACTTTAGGAGGTATCTGGAGAGATTTAATTCATTTTATTTTGTAGAAACTACTAGAGCTGCACCAAATATTCGGTTAAATAGTCATAACAAATAAGTTACAAGTCACAAGATTTAAAAAAAAATACAACGAAGAATAATTAAAATATATATATATATATATATAATGACATTTCACTTTCGCGAACTTACAATGTAAAGTTATTCAATATTCAATTTACGACGGAAAGCAAAATAGACCGAATAAGCCGAATAGTAACCGAATATTCGTTGCAACTTTAATTATCATTCTAACAATATTTTGCAGAAAATGCGAGATGAGACAGGCGATTATTTAAAAATCTTTGAATGCACTTCGAACTGTTTTTAAAATCAATATAAAGTTTTCTGTCAGTAAAATTTTCTAACTACGGTATTTAAGGTAATTTCCCTCCGTGTGGCATAGCCGTGAGACACCCTACATATATTCAATCTTGTTAAAAAAATAAAGTCTGTTTTATATAGTTAAACCTACGGACACACTTACCGATATCTATCAACGAAGATCTGGAACGGTATGCGAATCGGGTACCCCATCTGCCTGATCTTAATGGTATCGAGCATGCCAGTATATCGCAGCTGCGCCAGCACGCATGGCATGTCGAACCGCATAGGGGACTTGTCCGTGTTCGGCTTGATGCAACGCACGAACCATGGGTTGCACCGTGACATCGACTCTAACAATTGGTGGAGGCTATCTGAAAACCTGTGAAGAATTTGAGTAATGAGAATGTGAGTATTACTGCCTTTCGTTTTTTTTTATAATATCAAGTGACGGGATCAACAAGTCGTGCACCTGATTCTATAAAATGAATAGATTTTCTCACAGTAATATTATGTAGTAACGTACCAAAAAATCATATCTATTATCCTGTTTCAAACTCGAGAATATCCTTTAGTACAGACTAAAAAACAAATCTGTAACGTATAAACCAATTTAGTATTATTAATATTCGGTTTATATATTGGTTTTAAAAGGTATTGAATCGAGTTCTAATAAAGTTTTCACGATTGTTACACATGGGAAATGAAACTATGTTTTCGGATCTATATCGCGTATATTTGTTTTTGCAAACAAGCCAATGATTTGGGTCCGTTGTACTGGTTCCATGGTCACGGCTGACAATTAGCTGCAATCGTGGTTTATTTGAAAAAACAAATACATGCGATTAAGTTCCGAAATTAAGTTTTTTTTATAAAAAGAAACGATTTTCGTGGAATTATATCTATTTGCCAAGTTTTATTGCAATCGGTTACCGGAAAGTGCCTGCAGCCGGATTCAACCCCTAGTTTGCCACCTTTAGACGTGGGATGTTTACTTCAAATTTAAATGGGATCAATACTGAGATACCCTCTTTCCAATAAAAAAGAAACATCAAAATCGGTTTACAAATACTCTCGTAACATAAGTATATATAAAAAAAAAAAACACATTGAGAACATCCTTTTTGAAGTCGGTTAAAACAGTTTAGTTTCCTAGGTATCACATACCGAGCTTGTCGTAACTGCCTCTGTGGCCGAACGGTTATCATGCTGGACTGCCACGCAAGAGGTCTCGGGTTCGATTCACGAGCCGGGAGAAATATTTATATGGCCTACATTTATTTCTCTCGTGAGTTTCGGCGTAATTTGTGGTTGTCTATGTGTGTGTCCATGGCACCCGCGACACAGGGTCTCCCTAGTGAGAGGCTATAGGATAAAAATGCTTATATTTAATGAGGTCATCATACCTCGCAGCAACTGTTGGCGTTCTCGGTTTCATAGTGACGAATCTTCCATTGGCGCCTCTTGGCAGAGTTTTGTTTGAGTCATGTTGAATCCTCAATTGGGTGGACATTTCGGCCACCAGTGGGACTTCGCTGCTGCACAGCAGTTCCAGGACATCTGCACGCAGCGCGTCGCGGTTTTTGTCCAGGAAACCTTCCACGTTGTACCACACTTGGCCGGCATAGTGTTTTATCTGTGAAAGAGTGTTAATTTAGTTTATCAATTGGTGAACTACTATCCAATCGCTGATGAGAGAATCAATAGTAATAAGACATCCTTTTTTTCTTTGTATGGAAATTTACGGATTCCCAAATATTATCAAATACAGGATTACAAGGCTATATATAATACTTAAGGATAAGAAACTGTCTGTTATCACATCGAACAACTTCAGCTAGAAACAAATGTTATTTAAAAATATTTTATTATTTCCATGCAAACAAAATTTAGAGGCGAAGTTAACATTTTTCTAAAAACAGTTCAGTGTCATGTACAGTAGCCCATTCTTTCATACCCCGGAACGTATTAGTGGACTCTTTTATTTTAGGCCATAGAAAGTGGATTTACGTTCAATTTTAAAACGCAATTGACTAAATGCCTTTTGACTCATCGCTTTTATTATAATAATGCTTTTGTAAAATTAAAAAAGTAATTAATATTACTGGAATGCTATTAACTGTAAAGAATAAATGTGAATACTATTAATATTCTGTTTCTATGTTGTGTATGATGTACCTAATTTCAGTGAAGATCTATTGAAGATCTATATAGTGAAGATATATTGTGGCAAATAAAAGTACTATATTTGTTCGTCTTGTATTGTTCGGCAATGATATTTCTAAGTTATTATGGTAGTTGTGATACAAGATAAAATTGACGACATCTACGGACACCATGCATACCGCATTGTGTCCGTGATCGTCGGGGATAGTGCAAATCCGCGCATGTAGTATTGGGAATAGGCGCGTAACTGCACGAAACCAAATTTTACGGGAGAGAGATTTTTTTATTCTTTTGTTATTTCAATGACTTCGACTGAAATATTTGCACAGTAAGCATCAATTTATGTTGTCTACAGACTGATAACAATAGATCCCCGTAAGTCACGCTAACATCGACCCCTCCTACATAAAGTATCGTATGTCGAAATTGCCAAGTTTACAGGGGAACATTTTGAATTCACTGAAATGACCATAACACGTGACTTTTAAGATTTTTCAGTTTTAATCCGCAAATCTCGCTACTTATATAGAGTGATCATCTAATCGATGTCTAGGATTTTATAATACTCTATGTGAGTTACGAGCTTTGCCGAATAAAACTGAGAAATGCTTAAGTCACATGTCATGCTTATTTCAGTGAATTCAGAACTTTAAAACGCTCCCCTGTAAACTTGGCAATTTCGACATACGATACTTTACATAGGAGGGGTCGATATGTAACACAACATTTACGCGGATATGATTTGGCCACTTAACTCCCGAAATGGAAATTCGTAATCCAATGCTAGTTACGCGTAATTGCACTGCCCCCGACGATATGTTATCGAGTGTTTGATACGTATTCAATTTGAAGTTACACTGCAAATATCCTTTATATTATATGGCAAATAAATCTTAACTAATTAGGAATTTCAACTTTGTGGATATATAGTTTCAGTGTAAAAATTCAATTGAGGCAGTACGCATTTTTTAGTACTTATAATAGTATTCGTAGATGCCGTCCATACGTAGGTTGAGTAGTTTTGTAAGAAACTTACGCCAAACTCGCTAGCGCCTAACCGAGGCCGAGAATAGAGCTCATTTAATGCGTGGTTGTAGTGGCACTTTTCGAGGAAGGACGCGTCCGAAGCGCGCGGGAAGTTGCTCTCGTCGTCCAGCAAGTGCAGAATGCCCACAGGCTTCTTGCTTAGTAGCTGGATTACTGTAAACAAAAATAATAAATGTCACTATACAATAAATGTAATTTGGAAATAGTCCAATAGTTTATTTACGAATAATGGAAATTTGTTACTAGAAGAAAGTCTTTTTGATTATATCAGTTGTGGGCGCCAGGTTAATTAAGTGCAAATATGACTATTCGATGTATCGTTTCGTTAAAAATTACAACAAACGGTAAATACAAACCAGGTGAATTATCGTTCCACGTCAAATGTGACCATTCCAGCCTTTCCTTCTGATACTCTTGTTGCTCCAGCTTGAATATGTGCTTGTTAAAATAATGCTGCAGCGTTTCGTTCGCGTAGTTAATGCACAGTTGCTCAAACGAGTTCTCTTCCAGGTCTTCGAACCCAAAGATGTCCAGGAGTGAAATCCTGTGCGCGTCGTGTAAACCGCCGCGATGGACTATAGAGTTTATTCTTAAAACCAGCCAGTTGAATAACGAAGAGTATAGCGCTTTGGCGAACGCATCTCTTGCATCCAAAGCCTGGTCGATTGGCAACGGTGACCTCATGCGTTCAGCCCGCGCCGCCGTGACTCTAGTAGTCAACGCTCTCGCCAACGCCTCAGCGGGAACTTTCAACAAATGTGCAGCCCAGCGAACTTCTGCGCCGCCACCTAACTGGACACCTTCTTGTCCATGACGCAACTGTCTTCTATGAAAGTACACATTTCCCAAGTGCAGAACAGACGCTAATACTCTAATTATGTCCTCTCTTTCAGAATCTCCAATACCAAGGACTTGCATAGCGCCACATAAGGCTGACCAATCGGCTCCCGCACCGGCTCCTCCTGAATCTCCTCCTTGGTTTAGGTAGAAATAATGCTCTGCCGTCAAAAGACCACGTGCCCTTCTTTGTTCTTCACCTAATCCCGCTAATAATTCGTAGAAAACATGATAGTTTCTTTCTCCGGGTGATTGTGTGACTATTCGGGATTTTTCTAGTAAGTAATGCGCAACTCTTGCGCCGGCTAGCGCGCCGTCCTTGAAGTAGAGTTCGAGAAGTTTTCCGAAACGACTAGAGTTGTGGTTTTTTGGTGTTCGGGCGTTGCCGAATGCTTCAAGTAAGGGGGCCGCTTCGAGGATTTGTTCAGAGACAGGAGCGCGACCGGGAGGGGCTGGGGCGACTGCCGCTAGGAACTGCACGGCGAGTTTGGTGGACTCTGTTTTGCCGGCACCGGACTCCCCTGAGATGAGTATGGCTTGCGGCTGCGGCAGAGACGCGCGCGCGGCGGCCGCTATGGCGAACAGATGTGGTGGGAGATCGCCCAGAGCTTCCGCTGCATGGTACCTACAAACATGTAACATGTTAACATTAACATTTTTGGTAAAAAAGACGACATTACGAGTTGACTATTACGGGGAAATTTAACAATTATAATAATTATACCAGAACCAAACTACCCTCAAAAAAATAATAATTTGACTTATAATGCGCTTTAATATTGCGAATATTATATCAATTGTACCATGAAATAAGAAAATACGTCAACCAAGAAAGGTTACGTAAAAAATGCACTATTTTTTCATAATAGAATTCCTAAAATGCAAACGCCAACAATAATAAAGTAAATCACCTCCTCGCAGTTTGCAATCCGTATAAGGAGTCGACAGGTTTGTAAGGGTTGACAGCGACCAAAATCGACCCGGCGTATGTATAGATGATGCCCTGTTCATATCTCAGTTTGAGGTTCCACAGCAACGCTGCCTCGTGGAGGTCATGAAGCCGTGTCATGTCATCTACGCCTGTGGGGCCTAACTCCTCGCGAGGCCACACCGGGTCGCCTTCTTCCTCGCCATTTCCCATTTGCAAAGCAAAAGTTTGCGGCTGAAACAAAAAGTGGACAGGTCAGAAAGATTTGAAACTAAATGTCCATACATTTATCAAACTCAAATATATCTTACATTACATTCTTAAAACACATTACCCTGAGAAGAATGACTAAGAAACTCTAGGGAACGTTCTTTGTAAATAAACATTTGTACACATTTGAAATTTACAATATTTATATCAAATATCATATCGATCGAGAGTTTTGTTTTGTATCATACCTATATTAGGAAAAAAATGTACTATTTTCCTACAATGTAATAAGTTCAAAAAGTCTCTTTGTTGACGAATATTAGTAAAAGCGTCAACAGGTTTGCTCGAGTTTTTGTCGATCAACATGTGTGATCTGACAAAATCGAGTAAATTTGTACGAAGCAGACGATCGATATCGTATTTATTTCCTGTAGATCGACACGAGTTGATCATCAAAAATCGAGTAAATCTGTACCTTAAAAAAAGTAAGCCAACTATAAAAACAATTAACTACAATCGAGATAAACTCATTGCAGTGTGGCACATGGCAATTTGCCCCTGTCGGTAGACTGCCGGCACAGAACTGCAGCCAGACGGAAAATTATCCAGTCTGTGACATAATAATACAATTATGTTATTCAAGATATTCTAAAGCACAATTTCGAAACGCTGCATGCCGAATATGTCTCAATTTCGCGCTGATTCGACAAATAAGTGTTTTATAGTAATTGATAAACGTAATAGAAACATTGTTAGGGTCTGCGGAAAATAAAATTTTATACAGTGTCGGTTACTATTTGAATTGCATGTGACAAATTATTGCTTTTATAATGTACAAGAGTGTTTGATATTTAAATTTTGAAGCCTGCGACCAATAATCTTACATAAGTAAAAAAAGGTGACCCTAAATTATATTCGTTATTAATTTCTTGACATGCGTTCTTCTTAGTATTAAGAACACTTTTATTGTTTGTTTTGTACATTGTCTGGAATTTAAAAGAAGAATATAATATGTTTTGCGAAGTCTTTTGCTAAGTCGGTTAAAAATTTACTAAACCAACAGTAACTTTTTATTCTGGTCGTATGGAATTCGTAACGACAACGGCAATGGAGCTTGGTATAATCTGTGGAGATTGAAGAACGATAGTTATAAAATCAGTTATAAATCTTCTCTATCGGAAATTAAATTAGAAGCTTTGTTTAAAAATAAAAATGAAAAAAAAGTAAAATTGTTTTTATAATTTGAGTTAATAAAAGAGATTGATTAAAATCTCATGTTTTGAGTGCCTGCGTACGTAGCATTTAAGCACTTTAGGTATGGAAACCTACTTTTAAACCAGTCTCGTTTCCTAGGGTTTTTTAAACGCAATGGAATGTTAACGAAGTCGTGATCAATGGGACTACGTAATATAGGATTACATTTGCATGCATGCATATTGCAAAGTCTTGCTTGAGTAAGCGGAATCATTGCTTAGATTACGGCGATACTGTTAGATGTCCTTCATTTTACGAATGACTTGAAGTAAATACTTGCTTAATTATTACGTGAGTGTGATAATAACAGGTCTCAAATTATATTGATGCTATAAATAATCACTTAAATATGACTTAAATAGTTTCTTTTTAAATTGCAACACAATGTACTTATTCCATTACTATTCGAAATTGGGTCCATTTTGTTCTTCGATCGAATACAGAATACCTAAAAACAAGTATTCGGTCAAATACCGAAGACGTAAAAACAAGTACACCGAATAAATAAAAACAAGTATTTGGCTGGAAAAGCCGAAGAAACAATAAATTGAGCTATCAGTCATTGACCTACCCACAAATATCAGTGCAAAAGCGGTGTAGCCCTATTAAAAGCATAATATAGAAGATAATGAGGGATTTAAAATTATGATAATGTGATTGTTTAATTTGAGACTTTTTAAACATGAAAGTAGCAATAAATTTTTTATTGAATTGATATTCAATTATTTTTTATGTGAAATTACTCAATTATTTTGTTATAATTATTAATATAAATATCGAATACTTAGAGAAAATTTCTTCGAAAGACGTTTCGTCAATATTGCGTTCAAATAAACACTGACCAGACTGAATCTTTCTCGAGATGAATATAACGTGCTGAAGACCTTCCGCGAAGATTCTGAATTAGTCATCCTCCGTGCAGATAAAAGAAACGCGACGGTAATCGTGAATACGTCAGATTATAATAGCAAAAGGGTTTACTATCGGATGAAAGGACGTATAAAAAGGTGAAAAAAGACCCTACCACCAAGATATTAAAAACAACAACTAAGTTAATATGTAAACACTCCGATACACTGAAACTTGATGTAAGTGAGTTTGTACCCTGCTGCGTAAAACCTCCAAAACTGTATGGGTCACCAAAAATACATAATTCTGACACCCCAATATGTCTCATAGTTAGCCAGATTGACACACCGACCTACAAACTGGCTCAACACATGACAAAGATACCGTCACCATTGAGAGCTTTTACACATGTGAAGGATTCATACCCTTTCATCAGTGGAATCAAAGATCTACGGTTAACTGATGATGTTCAGTCAGTTTTGATGTTCAATGGCTGTTCTCCAAACTGCCATTAAAAGACTGCATTGAAATTGTACATAGAAAGCTAAGGGAACATAATATGTCCAATGAATATGCAGAATTCTAACATCAGGCTATATATTGTGGAATAATGAATTCTACCTACAAATCGACGGTATAGCGATGGGCTCTCCGGTTTCTCGTGTTGTTGCCGATATTTTCATGGAAAACTTCGAGGACCGAGTTTTACTCATAGCCCTGGCTAGGCCGAAGACTTTCAAACGGTACGTTGATGATACTTTCACAATATTGTCTAAAGATAGCATACCTTCTTTCTTGGACCATCTTAATTATTTTAGTACTAAGATCCAATTTACTACGGAACTAGAGAATTGTGATACTTTAGCTTTCTTAGATGTTTTAATTCAAAGAAATACTAATAGCACCTTAGGCGATACAGTATTTCGAAAGAAAACTCATACGGATAGGTACCTCAATGGTAATTCCCATCACCATCCTAGCCAGTCAGATACCGTGGGCAAATCTTTGTTCAGTAATCATCTGGCGGGGGAACTTCAGCATATAAAGCAAGTCCTTCATGCAAATAAGTTGAAGATTCCACGCCAATGCTGCAGGCCCCGTGTGAAACCACCAACAGTCGAGCGAAGACCTGCCATTTTACCTTACGTGATAGGTGTTACAGACAAGATCGGAAGAGTCCTCAGGCGTGCATCTATCAAGACCTATTTCAAGCCCCTAAGGAAGATTTCTCAGTTCCTGAGACGCGTGAAATGTAACATCCCCTTACAAGATGCAGGAGTTTACAAGCTTGACTGTGAGCGCGGTCTCTCTTATATTGGACAAACGACGACTTTGACGCGGGTACAAATACTTAGGGAAGTATGTGTACTCGCGTCAAAGAACATATAGCTGATGTCAAACACCATCGCGTAAACAAGTCCGCAGTCTGCGGACATGCCATGGGTAAACCCACACATTCAATGAAGTTTGACAAACCCCAGGTCCTTGCAAGAGAAGACCGTTATCTACCCAGGATGCTGCGAGAAGCTATTGAAAATATAAAAACATCCAAATTTCAACAAGGAAGATGGTTTCTCTGTACCACCAGTTTGGGATCCAGTATTTCCTCTGATGAAAAATCCCAAACAGACATAAAACTGCAGTACTAATTAATATGTTTTAATTTATTCTAATTTCCATTATTAATTAATTAATTTAATTTAATAAAAAAAATTATATTGTTAAAATAAAATAATTTGTAAAACATAATGTAGCGTAAATGGGATTTTTTCTTTGTAAAATTAAAAATAAGGTATTTAATTAATAAGTTTTCTAACCATAGTGAAAAAATTGGGTGGTTTACATTGACTTACAAATGGTGGTTTCCATTAATATTAGACATAACATAGTCAACCGTGACCATGGGACCTGTAAAGGGCCCGAAACGTCGGTTTGTTTGAAAAAACAAATATACGCGATTTAAATCCGGAGAAATAGTTTCATTTCCTATATAAACTTGAAAATCAAATTACTTTTATTCCCTTTTATTTATTATTACCTTTATTGTTTCATTGTACAAAATTTATCATAACTGAAATTTTTAATGCCATTTTCCGTCAGTGTCACTTGTCGTACGTGCGTTTATCAGGCCGAATAGTTTGGCCAATAATGGTTACACTCCAGGCCGAATATTCGGTATTCAGCCTGAGGCCAAGGATTCTTTGCAACATTTATAACTGTACTTTTTTAAATAAGAATTTCAATTTAGATTTCAATACAGTATCTTAACTTGTTGTTCTATAGAAAAAAATCTACATGGTCATTTAATGCGCTAAAAAGTTAACTTTTTGAACGATAATAAAACCAGACGATAACTAAGTAATATACGATAATTACATTGTGCATCAAGATATCCAAACACAGGTCCTTCAGAAGTGGAACGGTCACTGTCCTCCATTTTCTCGCCTTAGATTTTTCACTTGACCTTGGCAATCTCTCGCTCATCGCGCGTGGCAAACTCGGCATTGTAGATTTCATGCAACTTGGCAGAACGGCTGGTGCACTATTTCTACTTCGCTGTCTGCGTATTACGCGAGGATGTTTGCAATAAGTCGAGTTACAAGAAGATCCACATGACGCGCCAGATTCGGATTCAGGTGAACTGCAAGGCGTTGGCGCGAAATGCACGCGCATCAGATTTTAAATTCTTAGTTTCGTATTTTTAACTTATTATTTTCGTTGTTTTTTACTCCATGTTTATGAATTTCTCATAAGTAAGACAAATAATTACTTTAGTACAGTTGTGCAAACTACACCATAATAACATCTGTTTTATTAGCGATCTACAATTTATATGATACCACGGTAATAGTATTAATACAGAGGGTGACTTTTAACAATTCATAATATTTTACTTTAATACAAAAATAAACAGATTCAAA